TATTTATGCTGTTGACATGCTTTAAGTGTAGATTTGTTTCGAATCTGAAAGTAGGGTCGAGAACTTTCCCGTAGTTAGCTTTCGCGCGTTTCCGAATCAAAGACTTGAGGTTTTCCGTTTTGTTCATAGTCGATCGAAAGATTTAGGGTTTTGTGGTAGACATTGGGGATTTCTGATAGATTGTTATTGCGTAGCTGGTGTTTTGTTTGTTTGTTATTGTTTTCGTAGAGATTGAGAGATGCAGAGAAAAAGATAAGTAAGATTGAAAATGCAGGTGAGAGAGAGAGAATAGAAGGAGTTTTGGCGTGAGTAGAGTGAGAAAGGGAGTGGATTAAGATGATTTTTCTTTCTCTTTAATGCGTGATTATTGGTTTTAATGTTATTAATCCACCGTTTTCCTTTCCATATTATCCTGATGTTTTGAAATTTGAATAATAAGTGAGTCATTATGGGCCTTGGAAAACGTTCACTCCTATCACTTTCCTTGGGGAGAGCTCGAGGCAGCTTTTCCTTATTCTTGCATGCATTAGATATAGTCTTATTATTATATTTTAAATAGGTCTTCATGGCATTGGTAATAAGAATATGCTGTTATTTATTCCATATCTCTTCATTGTCTGACGTATTTATTGGCATCCATACACGGTCTCTTGGGCATGCGTTTTGTTTGTTGGATTGTGGAGAGTAAGCATTTAACATGATAAATTTTGATCTGAGTGGGCAAAGGAGAGTGTTGGGCCTTTGGGGCCTTTGGGTTTCATTTCTGTACGCTATTACTTCTATTCGTACCCTAGCTTGTCCTTGATTTAATTTAGTTAACCATGTTCTTATGTGTTAACCAAGTTAATAATAGTTTAGGATTTTTTGTTAATATTTTTTTGTCAACCCTTGTTGTTAATATATAATATAATTAGATAATTACTATAAAATAATTTCTAGACTAATTTGATAGGTTTCCCCTAATCCGTTTAAACCATTCTTATTGCGATTAATCAAATCCTTTCCTAATTCAATAATGAAGGTGGTGGATCCTTAGAGTCTAGCACTCTTTGGGTCCTTAAGCGACCGCTCTCGAGGTGTACACCTTGAGTTGTAGTCGCTTCGTCTTTCATCCCTAAAATTATACAACCTTGTTTAAACCTTTCAAAGTAGGCAAACCTTAATTCTAGAAATATGCCTACCCTAGCTTAACCCCTACGCTAATATTTTCAAATTGTTTTCATAATTAAATCACGAAATAATCAAGTTCTTGGAGTCGCGCATTCCTCGAATTCGAGAGTGACTACTATTGAGGCGTACGCCTTGAATGGTGTTTCGTTCAAACTTTCGTTCCTAAAACACCTCTTCTAATTATTTGGACAAGTACTTTCACTATCCAACAAGCATATTTTATAATTAATGGAACGAAAAGGGTATCGTTGGGATCTAGCATTCCAACGATATCCCGACTAGTTGGTTACGAGACCGACGCCTCGTTTATCGAATAGTCGTCATTCCTCCTAATTTTTCAAACCATCTAATGTCGTTCCTCACCTTCATACGGTTGAGTCTAAACCCTAGTATGTTTCTAAACCACACGTCAAATCCAAACTATTTTCTTCATTAAATTACAAAAGAACTGAGTTCTTGGAGTCTCGCACTCCTTGAATTCTGAGTAACCACTCTTAGGGCGTACGCTTTAGGTTGTGGTTCGCTCAACCTTTCGTTTATAAAACACGTGCCCTAATTATTTGGACCAATATCGTTATTGTCCATTCAAATACAATTTCATAATCAATTGAATGAAAAAGGTGTCGTTGGGATCTAACATCCCAACGATATCCCGACTAATTGGTTGCGAGACTGACGTCTCGTTTATCGAGTAGTCGTCATTCTCCCTTAAAATATTCAATCCAACTCTCTTCTCTCGCCCCCGTGCGATTGAAACTTTCTCAAACACTAATTTCGAAGTTAGTTGAATGAAAAAGGTGTTGTTGGAATCTAGCATTCCAATAATGCCCCGATTAATTGATTGCGGGGCCGACGTCTCGTTTATCGAATAGTCGTCGTTCTCCATCAAATTACCTAACCATTCCAACCTCTTTCTTTCCCCCGTGCAATTGAAACCTTAAACCTATTCAAATCCATTCTCTTTCCCAAACCAAAACATCCAATACGATAAACACAAATTCCTCGCCCTCGTGCGATTTCCAACCAAAACACCTTTTGTTAAGAACATTGTTTATTCCTTTCTTCCGCGCATAAGAACTTGTGCTTCGGCCTCCCCTAGCGAGCAGACAAGCCAATGTTTAGCAGTTAGAATGCGACCTAAACTCTCGTTCAACTCATACACCTTTGACCAAGAACATTGTTTAGTCCCTTCTTCCGCGCATAACAAACTCTTGCTTTAGCCTCCCTTAGCGAGCAGACAAGCCAATGTTTAGCAGTTAGAATGCGACCTAAACACTCATTCATATTTCCAAACTTTTTACCGTAGTTAGCCGAACTACGGCTGCTCTGATTTCTCATTTATCAATGAGAATACGTAGGCACAAGATTGCGATGATCTTGGCGAGCACAATCCCCTTTTTTTCCCGTAGTCCCACGAACTATGAATGCTCTGATTTTCCACTTCTTACAAGTGAAGATACGTAGGCACAAGGGCCTCAATCCTTGGCGAGCACTCTATCTTAAAACCACCCATTTCCCCCTTTAGGAGAAACCTTAGAAGAAAACAAACAGTTTAGCTAACTTTACTCTCGAATCAATCAAGAGGTTCCCATTGAGTACAACGGACATGAGGGGTGCTAATACCTTCCCCTCATGTAACCGACTCCCGAACCTAGAATATTGGTTGCAATGACCATGTTCTTATCCCTTTAAAGGTTTTATCGATATTTTCCTATTCCTACCTTGGAATGAATAAAGTTCGGTGGCGACTCTGTTCGAATGAATTTTCCGCGTCCATCACGAGGATCATATTTTTTGAGGTACGACACTAACCACTCCACAAACATCCAAGTTTTATTAGGAGAAAGAGTTAGAAAATGCACTTGGTACGAGACCAAGGTTTTAAGAGAAATGTTGTTAAAGAGAACAGGTGGTGAATTGATTTGACAGTTTGTTGAGAAAGTTCGCTTGACTTTGGATTAAGGGTTTTACTTGGCTTTGCGTGTAAAAACATGGTGGAATGGAAGTGGGTTTGAAAATGGCTCGACGACGGGTCGAGGGTTTTGATTGAAAACAGAACCAGCTTGATGAGGATTCAAGGGTTAAGGTGTGAGAAACGATACTAATCCCTGGGGGTGGTCCTAATGTCGAGTTCACAATGATGGCTGACAGTGTGTGCGATAGGTTGATGGCGAATGCGGACAACACTTGAATTACAGAGGGGTGTTTGAAAATGGCTCAATGAAGAATCAAGAATTAGTTTGAAAACGATTATACTAGTCCCTGGGGATGCTCCTAGAAGATAAGCACAGTCAAAGAAATACGAAATACATACATCAAAAATGGGAGAGGGGTACATGCAAATTACACGGGATTGCACGAAATAAAAGGTCTTATTGTCAGGTAGCCCAAGAGGAAGTCGTGTTTGTGCAATGTGTCCTAAACTAAGCCTTGAGCAAAAGTCGGGCACAACTCTATGCTAGGGTTCCTGAAAATGTCCAAAGATCTGTCACTCGGACAAACAACCAACAATCCACCAATTTAGGGTTTTATGGTTTCAATAGTTATTAGGTGTTTTTGAAAGAATGTACAAATGAATATAAATATATACAAGAGTATAGATAATATACAGGATATGTAATAGTATGTACAAGATAATATTCACAATAATATATCAAGATAAATGTCAATGAGTATAAAGACAAGATAATATAATCGAGATAATATTGACTGAAAGTAAACAGTGGTATAATTGACTGGAAATAAAGCAAGCGTATATTGACGGCAAGTAAAGTTAGTCGTTAATTTGTTAGTGAATTGAATCGGGACGAAATGTAACGTTAAACTATCGTAGCTCGACTTATGATGAAATTCGAACTATAGGAGGTCGCGTAAATTGATATCCATGCTAAAAACAAGATAGAGAAATGATACTGAGGATCATTCTCCAATTTAATCATGTCGCACGAACGAAAGAAGGGTGGGATCTCGTCTTAATCACAAACTCGTGTTAATTAATCGAGGGAAACCTCTCACGATCCCAAAGTATAGAAAAATAATCTGAATGATCATTTTCTACAAATTTGAAATAATGAAGGTTATAAACCTCGAAAACCAACATTCGCGAATCGAAAGACTTCATAGATCAAAAAATTAAATAAAATCGAAAAATGAAGAAATGAGGAGAGAAAAAGTGGGTGGTCTCGGATCCATCATTATTTATCAATAGTTTGACTAGTAATGATTTCTGGAGGTCTCGTCATTGACCCGAAAAATGAGATAAAAGTGAAAATGAGGTTCAAGGAAAAATACAAAGTAGTGACCAAAATATAACCAGGATATGAATTAGACAACTCAAATAATTATTAACAAAATGTTTTAGTAAAATACTTAACTAAAATTGTGGACAATATTCTTTGAAGAAAATCCAAAAGAAAAAAAAAAGATCAAAACATAAAATAAAATAACAAAACCATGATTAGTAATAATGAAAAGGATTTGAAAATAAGAAAATAAAAGATTGAGGGGGGGTGTTTAAGATGTGAGGTGGGGGTAAATGCCACCATGGGCTTATCAGAGTCCATCCGAAAAAGGAACAAAAACAACAACAAAAATGGACCCTCTGGCCCGCTCAAACCAACAACAAATAAATCCCTCTCACCATAAACCCATCTGGACAATGCTTCACGGTAAAATCATCCTTATGAAAAACAAAGTTACAGCAGAAGATTTCATGAAAGAAAAAAAGAACAAATCCAACGGTTTCCCCGCAAACTTCTTGCGCAAAACGGCCCGCTGTGATATGGTTCTTTAACCTTCTTCGCTTCGATTTCAAACCCCTAAGATCCAACATGATTTTAGGTTTGTACTCGGTTTTGGTTAATCTCTCTCTTTCACGATCTGTTTCATCTCAATCTCATATCTCTTCTAATTCTGCTCTGTTTCGATATGGTTTGTGGTTGTGTGTGGGTTCTTGGTTGAAGGTGATTTTGAATGAGTATGAAGAAGAGATTGAGGGGTTCGTTGCTGAAGTGAAGAAGATGTTTGGGTTTAAGAAGTTTGGAGAAGGTTGGAGGTTTTTTTTGTGAAAATGGTTGAGGAAAGGAGGTAGAAGTTTAAGATTGACGAAGGTAGGGAAGTTTTTTTGAAGGCTTGTTGTTGAAGAGGGGATGTTGTCGTGAAGGGTGGTTCATAGGGATTTGACGACTTTTTTCTCCTTCTTTTTTATTCTGAGTTAAAAAACTATTCCTCATGTTTTTTTCTTTCTCTTTTTGTGGCGCAGCAAGTTGTTGGTTTGTAATTTCACAACAACACTGTATATTCCAGCGTGTAGGAGGCATTATACTGGCTATATTAATGAATTGGTGAAGGCTTGGATGAGCTGGTGTTTGTATGGGTTTACCGCAAGTTTCACGTTTGCGGTTGTGTCAGCTGGTTTTGGTCGTACCATGGAATCAATTGGATCTATTTTATTGTAGCAGATTTTTACAAGTTGGTTGAATCACTTTTTACAATTGTACAAGGCTTGTCAATTAGTGGGATGCATTGGTGTGAGTCATGTAGCTTTTCCTTTTTTTTTTGGAGATTTTGTGTTCCTTTGTGAACTTGAGCCTTGATTTATTCTCCTTCAAGCATTTTTGTTGTAAATGAACATATGGGCTTGTAACTTATTTTTAATTTTTGTAATTAATTGTGTGAAGCAAGCAAAAATTGGTTCATGGGCCTATGAGATAAAAACTCTTCTTTACTAAATTTGTAGTGAAATGTCTTATGGTTCTTGATCCATGGTATTTGTAGAATTCTTTTTGAATAATGAATGGACTTTGAGTTTGCTATTAGGTTTGAACCATTCTTTGATCTTGCCATTGACTTGAATAAATCCATGATCATTAAATCTCTAGATTCCACTAGAACCAAAATTCAATATTCTTGACTTTTCCCCTTGAAACGAATTAAGGCTTAAATTGATCCTTGAAATAATACATGAATCTATCTTGGATTTGAAATGGATCAGAATTCTAAGTCGAAATGAGTCCACTACTGAATCAATCTTTGGACTTTGCCACTTACATCTTAATAAACCAAATCTTCTGCCATGAACCAAATGAGCAGCAGATGCTTTGAGATCAAAAGATACTGCACTGCACTACAACTGCTCCAAAAATCCTAATTGAGAAAAACAGACTCCATATATTTTTCCATCATGAAACATTTAACACTCAACCCATCCTGACATTCTGATACTCTCACACATATGACGTGAATAGGTATAACCCTAGTTGAAATCTCACTCATACCACCTTAATGGAGCATTCTGTATCCTGACATCCCTAATTGAAGCTTAATTCAATTCAAATCAACCTTGTGATCCCCTAAGTAGAAGCCACATATTTTTTTCGTTTTCTAATAAAGGTTAGCGGATGGATGTACAAATGAAAATTATACAGGTAGGACAAATTTGGGGCTATGACAGGGAGGAGATGAAGTGACTAACCGAGAAAGCAAAATAAAAGCTAGAGATAAGAAGGATCTAACCAAATTGTAGCACACTCCATAGCAAGCCAAATAATAATTCCATCCATGTTGAGCTTAAGCAAATGAGCAAGCCAAATAAAGGCAAAGATCCATAATACTCCAAGCATAGGGAAGGAGACTTAATTATAAGTCCAAGGGTCTAAGAATAGTCCAACAGCATGACCACAAAGTTAAGAGCACCAAGTTTTTTAAAGGTTTAATCCTTTATTAGTGTTTTAAACAAGATATGGTACAAATGGACAAAGGAAAACGAGTGAAAACATAAACACGTGTCCAACGGACAAAGGAAAAATAACGAAAGCATAAACAATAATATGATATGAGATGATAAAAATGGAGCATAAAAATAAAAGAGCGATAGGGACCAAGAAGGAAACATAAAAAAAATTAGCACAATAATTTGTAAGTGAGTTAGTGATTAGTTTTAGAATAAATGATTAACGATAGTTAACTCATGCACTTAGGCCAAAGTTAATGAAGACTCATTAGAGGATTGATAAAATCAAAGCCTCCTAACAACAAGATTCATACGTGATGGACCTAAGACAAATAATCAACCATACTTAGACTTTCAAACATAAGTTTGAGGCACGAATGATCACTTTCCGATTACGGGACAATTTAGCGCTATGTTAAGTAATCGTAATCGGGTTTATGTAGAAACCACGATTATCTGAGGCCGGTCAATAAATATGATAGTGCTAATGCATGCTAGAGAAGTGATGTGTAGGTCACTCTCCAAAAGCAATACCGCACGAAAAGAAAATAGGTAACGATCTCATCGTCATCAAGAACTTGAAATAAGTTCAAACGATATCGAAGATTTTCATCGATCAAAAGAAAAAAGAGAAGAGGAGATGTAATACCAAATTGGATCAGAATTTCAAAGTAATTCCTTATTTAAGTTCATCCACTCATCTTGGTGGATTAAAGAACTATACATATCATTAACTCAAAGCACCTAAAATGAATTGAACAAATTGATCGCGACTTTCTATGTCTAACAAATCTAACTGCAAGTGCACAGTCTATCGCGTAGTAATAATAGATATCGATCCCACAGGGACTCGTAATCAATCTAGTATTATCGGGTGTTACGGTGTTTAGCTAGGTCAGTTTGGTTCCAAGTTGAATAATAGCAGAATAGATGCATAAACTAAAGGGAACTAAAGCTTTTACTTAAGGTATGAATTTATAAATCGATATGCAATAATTTTGTTCTTCAGGGATTCGACAAATTACTGGCGTATTAAGTGTTTTCAAACTTAGTTTAAGAAGAAAATAGTGATCTAAAGACTTTTGTCTCACGATGGTTGTTGACACTTGTCGCAACTCTAAGGCGGAACGTATGCTGTCGCTATCCCGTTCGGGGTTAAAGTTACTTTTTGAAAATCTCTAAGTTCTAATTCTTTTTAAAGCGCTTTCGCTGTTTTTAAATTGAATGCCTAGTTTTTACTATCTGGTTCTAGCCTCAGCTGTCGCTTGTTGGTTCGTACCTTAATATGGTTTCCCACTGTCGTGGCAAAACTATTTTTAAATAAGTTCTCGCTGTCGCGACGAACGTTTACTTAGAAATTTTAATTAAAAACTAAAACCATAACTGAGTTTTGAAAAGAGATAAATTACGCTAATTATTATCAAATCCCGTCCGAATTATTATTACATATCGATTATGGTAATTTAGCTAGACATGGAAAAAGAAATGATAATGCATAAATAAGAGCAGTAATTAAGAACATATATCATAATGAAAATTTGCAATTACGATTAAAATAAAAAGTTGTGAATATCCCAATTGGCTTTTGGGCAGATCCTCCACAATGTTGGCAGGATTCTGGTCTTTGTGCCAATTGATCGTACAAGAAAAAATGGAAAGTACAAAATACCAAAGAATACAGAGAAGGAAAAGAGATACAAATAAGAATATAAGAACGGTAAGGTTGCTCTGAAGATAAATTGGCAGCACTTCGTTGTCTTGAATATGGCTCCCTTTTTCAGGTCCCAACCTCTTCCTTTTATAGAGAGAGAGCATCTAACGGTTATTCCTTCAGGAAGTGGGTTTGAGGCAGAAAAGTAGGAGTTAGTGGTCACACTTTTGGTCTTTGAGGGGGAATTTTACCACGTGACTTCATTCTGCACGTTCTGGGTGCATGACGGTCGTCATGGAGGTGTGACGGTCATCACACGCATGACGAGCGTAACGGCCATGTGACGGTCGTCACATTAGTAGAACTCGTATCTTCTATTTTTCTCTTGGTTTTTCATCTATTTTTCACCTGTTTTTGCTCCTTTTCTTCATATTGCTTTGCTTGGACATGTTCTTTGAATACCTGCATAAGACTTAGACAAATAGCATGGAATGTCCTGAATTCGAAGTGAAATCAGTCAAATATTAGTTAAAACACATGTCATTTTATATATACAATTTCGCGTTATCAAACTCCCCTAAACTTGAATCTTTACTTGTCCTCAAGTAAAAGTTGGAAAAAGTTAAAAATGTGGCAAACACGCGGCACGCTTCTCCTTTCCGAAGGGTTTTTCAAATCATAAGTTAGGAAGGCCGGGCCTTAAATTGAAACAAAACACATACGGTGGTGACACTGAGTTGTAAGTCTTCGAAGGCCTCCCTTTTATGAAAGCCAGTTCCAATCATGCTACTGCAGCTTGGCGTCAAGTTCCTTGCAACAAGTTTTACCCAGTTTGTTCTGGCGCAGTCACATTAAGCCCGTTATCCATATACTTTCATGGCAAGTCAACCTGTTAGTGGCTATGATCTCTTTTCTATTTCAATTCTTCGTTGCACAGAACCTTATGCTATTGATTTCCAAAGACTTTCTGTACCGTTGGGCTAAATGCTCGGGTGAGGAGCACCTAACTTAGAAGGAACATGTCTCTATACTCAGGTTATATGGCTTTTCTTCTTCATGATTTTTCATTTTGAGTTAGAGATCACACACTTATTTGCATCGGTTTCATTGCTTAGAAGCATTTAGGATGGTGCTGACTGCTTGTATAAACTACTAGGGGCTAGGTTTGAGTAGGAGCTTGAAGCTTCGGTACGTGTAGGTAGTGAAATGGACTCGCATAAATTGGAGGTCTAAGGTGTCAGGACGGTAATGGAATTGTTAGAATTTTCTTCTCGGGATTTCCATACTTGATTGAACTTTGGCGTGTCCTCGTGATGCTTTGAGGCAAGGAGTTTAGAAATTTCTTTGTATATGGTTATATGAAGCGCGAGGAGTTCACGTAACGGAGATATATATATATATATATATATATATATATATATATATATATATATATATATATATATATATATATATATATATATATATATATATATATATATATATATATATATATATATATATATATATATATATATATATATATATATATATATATATATATATATATATATATATATATATATATATATATATATATACATATATATATATATATATACATATATATATATATATATATATATATATATATATATATACATATATATATATATACATATATATATATATATATATATACATATATATATATATATATATATATATATACATATATATATATATATATATATATATATATATATATACATATATATATATATATATATATATATATATATATATATATATATATATATATATATATATATATATAGATATATATATACATATATATATATATATATATAGATATATATATATATATACATATATATAGATATATATATATATACATATATATAGATATATATATATATATACATATATATATATATATAGATATATATATATATATATATATAT